CGCAAAGCTAGTCCTGATCCCGAACTAAAGAAGTACATTGAGAAGGCGAGAAGCATCTCGGGTGTAGCTGTTGATCCTAAGGTCTGTCTTCTCTTTGTTTGAAAATGTTGTATTTCGTCTCGCTCCTAATATTGACATTTAAAGAAGGCAAAATCTAACTCTTTCCGAATTCCCTCTCTTTCCCTTTTCCTCACTCGTGGGACTATACTTGTATGCAGTTTGTGAAATTATCGGAGAAGGACATTGTGGAGATGATATTCTTTCCAGTGGTGAATGAGGCTTGCCGAGTTTTTGCCGAAGGTATTGCAGTGAAAGCAGCAGACCTTGACATTGCTGCCGTTATGGGCATGGGATTCCCACCTTACAGGTTTGTAACCAATCTTGTCAAGGTTTTCATTAAATCCTTTTGGGACTTACCAATTTCTTGATATAATAAATTGTTTAACTTTTACCAGGGGAGGAATCATGTTTTGGGCTGATTCTCTTGGATCCAAGTACATTTATTCAAGACTGGAGGAGTGGTCAAATATGTATGGAAAATTCTTCAAGCCATGTGCCTTCTTGGCTGAAAGAGCTGCCAAGGGTGCTCCATTGGTAAGCATACCTGAAACACTAGATATTATAAGGTAGTTTTCCTGTGGCTGAAATTACCATGCATTTTCCTGTTCTTCTTGTGTGTTACTGAAGTAGTTGACTGAAATTACCCTGTAATTTTCACCGAAGAGTAGGCAAGGTTAATCGACAAATTATTCGGTATTAGGTTGCTTTCCACCATTGGATATTGAACACTGTAATTTCTTGTCTTCTGATGATTGAACTGTTCCATTGCAGAGTGCACCAGTGGAGCTGGGAAAATCTAGATTATAAGACTGCTTTGATTGCTGCAGTACTGCCCACTGCTCAAGATTTCCTCTTATGTTTTCTTTTCCAGTTTATTTTGTCAAGGCTAGACAGATAGCTCAAGATGAGCTCAATAATGTTGTGCAATGAAAATTTTGAGTTGCCAAGATAAGTTAAGGAATCAAACATGGATAATTGTAAACATCTCAGATGAATTCCAGATGCAATCTTGAAAGGCTAATATGTATCAGTCATCTTATGTTGTCAAACACTAAACAGAAATTATCATTTTTTTTTCCATTAACTATGGTAGTCTTTTGTTTGAGGACGAGCCTTGGAGCAATGGTAAGGTTGTTCGTTTGTGACTGGAAGGTTACAAGTACGAGTTTTGGAAACAGCCTTTCTGCAAAAATGCATAGAGAAGATTGTGTACCATGCACTCTCACTCCAACCCTCGCAAAGCCAGGAGCCTTGTGCACCGGGGTTTGTCTTTTGTTTCCTTTTCAAGAACCAGCTGTTTCAGAATTCCCTGATTTTGTTCATCTCTGCTCTACTTCAAGCATTGTTAAATTTTCGCTATTTTTTTATAAAAAATAATAAATAAATAAATAACTGAATGAATTTTTATTAATGAATAACTCTTGTTTTATTACTTTATATAATTTAATCATAAAATACATTTCGATGCGATGAGATGAGAACATTTTAATCGAGCTTCAAATGGGAGCCTAAGCTATTAAAATTAAGTTTTAAAGTCTTACTCTTCAATTTTTATTTTATAAATGTTGACGGTTACTTTGGATATTTTAACTGGATGGGAGTTGGTTGGAAGCTGAAAATTACAAAATCTGGACCTACAGCTAAAGTGTAAGATGAAGGGACATTGGAATTGGATTTTTCATAATGCATTTCGATACTCAAATTAGTAAAATATCTAAGGTTTAGTGAAAAAAAAAATGAAGTGCATCAAGGAAATTATAATGGAGAGGAATACTTAAATCTTTATGTCCCTCGACCTCCACTTTACTTTATATATATACGAGATAAAAGATGATAATTTAATTAACGTGGGTGATTACGAATTACATTTTAAGATTTTAAATAGATGTGAATTGCATTTAATAATTTCAAACAAATTAACGGTTAAACATTCGATTTTTAAGTAATATCTTAATGGAAAGTCATTAGAGATATATGATGAACTTTTCTTTGATAAGGGACGAGCTAATTCTAAGACAAAAGTTTTTATTATCAACCCTTATTGATGATAATGTGGCAGTTAAATGTGTATTGATAAGATGATTTACAGAGTTAATTTTATTGATCGAGTAAATAAATATAACAATAAATAAAAATGATCATGAAATATCTTAACATACATAAAAATGTTTTTGTGCAATTAGGTCTTTTTACAAACAGATCATCAGCATTTTCTTCTATTCAAATTTTCTATGATTTTATACGTTAGTTGACCAAAATTGGACAAAATTTTGTTAGTGCCTTGCTGTTGTCGCTCACCTGTCCATGCAAATAAACCAATCATTTCTTTATTAAAATAAAAAAAAAGTGAAGTTTGCATTTTTTTTTTACATGGTCGTGCATTTTGGCCACAAAAGTATGGAATGTGCCCTTAAAGTATGAATATATAAATAGGATTAATTAACCATAAATGATTTCTTGTCCTTATCTGCTAATTTCAATTACTAGGCACTTGCTGAACCCTAACAAAACAGGCATAAAAGCACGAAGATAATATTCTAACTCAAACAGATCCATTAAATGGTTTTAATAATAAAGATTTAAACACTTTTGGTTTTGGATTAATCCTGTTAGAGGATGGATTATCCTTTCGGTTCGTGGATTTAATTCGATTTAGATCAAATTTTAAATATAAATTTTGAAATTCGAATTTAGCTCAAATTTTTTATTTTATTAATATAATTTAAATTTTATTTAATTTTAAAATATATTTTAAAAAATTAATATTTTAATATAAATTTTAAAAATTTAAATTTATAAATTTAACTGATTGGATGCAATCGAGCAAGTCCGATCTAATCTACAAATAAATCTAATTTGGATAAACCTTTCAAAGCTCAATCTCTCTCTTTCTATATATATATATATATATATTGTTTTTGTTTTTATTCTTATTTTTTTCTGCCTTATTTTAAGTAATGATTTGTTGTCTCAATTTCATGCTTCATTGCATGGTGATGAAGTGCTGAATTTGTTAGTATTATTATTATTTAAATCCATATATCAAATTATAGATTTGTCCACATTATTATTATTATTTTTTATTTTATGGTCAGATTGAAATTATAAAGAAAGCTAAGCTACTTTTGTCTTGCTCTTCATTATACTTTGAGTAATTCTATTTGTGCCTCTTGCAATATCAAGAATTCAATTTGTACTACTAATTTTTAATTGAAACAATACCTTTCAAATGCAAACATACTTTGATATCAATTCATTTGTTAGAGATAGTTCTGATTTTACAGACTTGATCACATGAAAATTATTATGACATCATGACGTGACGTTAATCATAATCATAAAATTAGTATCTTGTTTTTGAAATATCTATATCGAAATTCATTTAATATTTATAATATTTGAATTAGTTTAAATATTCGTTTAAATTTAATATCATTATCTAAATATGAATTTATTTAAAGAAATACTACCTGTTTAAATATTCAAATGTATTAAAATATTCATTTATTTAATTTTTTATCAAACTATAAAATAAATAAAAATTTAATTTAAAATTCAAGTTCACTCTTAATTAATAATAAATAAAAATTATTTTTTAAGGTTCAAAACCTTTTATAAGTAAAAAATTTATATATTTTACATATGTAATCAAATAATGAATTCGAATATGGATTCCGATAATCATTACTATTCATTAAAACTTAAATGAATTTGAATATTAGATATATAAGATACTATTCATATCAACTCCGAATCCATCATAGATAATAAATCTCTTATCCGAATCTATTAATTATCCATTTTTAACTATATGAATATGATATAAACGGATCAAATAATAATAAATATCCATTTATTTACTATTTATTGTCAAGAATTAAATTCTAATAACTGAAATTAAAGCAAATCACGTTATTATTGCATATAATATCATCTTTAACAATTAATTAGTGTATTTTTATATGAAATAAAAAAAATAAAAAAGGGCCCTAGTTCATCTATACGGTGTCATTTTGTATCATCTTCTTCGTGAAAAATGGGTATTGAAGATTATGGTGTCCATTATCAGAGGTTGAGCAAAAATCAAACATGGGATCCACCAATGTTTTAAAGATTGTGCATTGAATCCAGCAATTGGACAAACTGTGATTGCAGCTGATTTTCTCACAAAATTCTGAGGCTTTAATAATGCCGTGAACTGAATAATAAAAGCAAGAAAACTCTAATAAATTTATGGAGTAATTGATCAGTCATACATTTGGCATAAAGCTGTTTGAATTTCATAATAAATGCTGCATATTTTACACATAAGGAGTCCCACCAAGAAATATCGGTTCATATAATGGATGGAGTTATTGAAGAAGACATTTAGTCAATACAGCTTCTCAGGTGTCACTGTGGGCCTTGCTGCTGCTCTGCACAGTCTAATTTAGAACAGGCTTAACCAAATTCTCACAGCCAATACATAATTTTCTTTCCTGTCTGTGGACCTAATTAATACACTGACATTGTTATTGTTATTGTTATCATATCACTTGAATCGGATGAACTTGAGCCATAAAACCTGAATCAATCAGTCCATGGTGACTAATGATCTAATCATTGAAACAAGCATAGTTATAACTAAGATTGGTCCGATGGTTGAATCAGTGATTTGATCATGAAATCAGGTTGGTTATTATGTTGAATCAGATCAATCCGAGTTTAATTTTACAGTCCAATAAACCTGTAGGTGGTAATTAATTGTTATAGTATCTAATATCTATTTCAAAGTGTCATCCCTGTTGTATAGGCCTGTAGGGAAAGTACTACTTTTTTACAGGCCAATATACCTTTATACTTGTAGGAATACTGGCCACAATACGTACTGAAACCGGCAAGTGACTGTTAAAGAAGCAAAAGCTTGATCAGAGATAATCTAATGGCAGAAAGAAGGAATCTAGTATCTATCCAAGAGAGAGCAGAAGCATTTCCTTCTTCAAATTCTAACATAAAAAAGAGGGCAAGCCCAAGCGAAGGGCTTAAAAAATCTCTAGAGCAAGCTCACAGTACAACGTGAGAGGGAGTCTTTTTGTAAATTCTTGTTCTGGTGCTTTGAGGCAAAAAGTTTTAGGGTTTAGCTTGTCTTTGTTCTACATTTTATTTAATGTATTGGTAAGTCAGTACTGCACGTGCTCCTGGGACTCTTCCCTCTCCTTACTTCAATGCCATATATTTTTTCCCACTCAATCTCACTTTCTCACCCTCTGCTCCTCTTCTTTTGTTTGCATCTTCCCTTCCCAACTCTTTCCTTTCTCTCACTCTCAGCAGGAAAAAAGTAAGTGATTGGGAAAAAAACCAATGTCTTTGATATAAGAAGAGGGCAATAACAAAAACAAGAAAAAGATTTGTAGCTTGGAGAATCTCAAGAGATACTGCTTTGAACATGATGGAAGGAATCAACGGAGGGGGAAGAGCTGGTGTTGGTGAAGAAGATACGGGAGATGGTATGCAGTGCAGTGATCATCCTTATAGAAACAACCCTGGTGGGATCTGTGCATTTTGCCTTCAAGAAAAGCTAGGGAAGTTGGTTTCTTCTTCTTTTCCTTTACCTATTCGTGGGTCATCATCTTCGTCTTCTTCTTCTTCCCCTTCTTTTAGATCTGATACTGGTGTCGCCGCTGCTAGCTGTGGCAATGGTGTTGTTGGTACTTCAACTTCTCTTTCTCTGTCTGTCCGACCCACGACAACAAAAAGTAGGAATGATAATGGCAATAATAGTCATTATCGTGAATATTATACAAGGCCGGCCAGGATCCCCTTCCTTTTGGCAAAGAGGAAGAAGATCATGGTGGCATCATCAGATCATCATCATGCTGCTGCCGATATTGTTTTTAAGAGAAGCAAGTCAACTACAACTCCTAGGAGAGGCCGTTTCTTGGATGCTTCTGTTGATGATGGTGAGGACTTTAGCCCCAGAAAGAGAGGTGGTTTCTGGTCATTTCTTTATCTTTCTTCCAAGTCTACAAAAAAACTAGATAAGATCGCTTCTATAGCAGCAACAGTAGCGGAAGTTACATCATCTACAACAACAGCAGCAGCAGGAGCAGCAGCCACTGGTTCTGTTGTGAAGCCAAAATGCTTAGGATCATCATTGTCCGGGAAAGGAGGCATTGTGGTGGTGGAGTATGATGATAGTCCTAATGGTCAAGCTACTTCCTCTGCATCATCATTTGAGCGCAAGGTTTCAAGATCGAGATCTGTTGGTTGTGGAAGCAGGCGTTTCTCTGGTGATTTCTTTGAAAGAATATCAACTGGGTTTGGGGATTGCACTCTCAGAAAAGTGGGTTCACAAAGGGAAGGCAAACCAAAAGTTGCTGCCTCATCATCTGCAATGAAAGAAAGGGTGAGGTGTGGAGGCATTTTTGGTGGTTTCATCATGACCTCTTCTTCATCATCTTCATCCTCATCAGCTTACTGGCTATCCTCTTCAGCTGAGGATCATGTCAAATCAACAGCTGGGCCTCTTGTTCATGGGAGGAGTAAGAGTTGGGGTTGGGCTTTTGCCAGTCCCATGAGAGCTTTCAGCAAGCCGCCTTCTAAAGATAGTAAGCGAGGTACCATCATTAGACAATCAAACAAGAACACCACTCCCAATCTGGCAGCAATTCCTTCCTTGTTAGCTGTTAGAGGCTAAAGAGATCAACTCGGGGGATCTTGATTTCGGTTAATAGACATTACATTTGGTTTCCTGTTTATTTCTGTGTTTATGATCTTTCTTGTACTCTCTTCCATTAGTAATGTTACACTCTTTTCTTTCTTAACTTTTTTGCCTGGTGCTTACCTCTGTTGGGTGGCTGAGATCAGCTGTGAATTGGAATACCATTACCAGAACTCAGGTGAGTTTTGGCAAAGTGAAACTGGTCCAAGGTGTTCACTTCGTTTCCTGCAGAAGTTTTCTGTTTAAAGAAAATTGTATTCTTTAATCTTTGTGGTGTTTGTTTGTAAGTTGTACCTTGATGTTATGGCAAAAAAATGTGGTTTTTATTATGTATTCTACAAGAAGTTTTCCCTGATCACATGCATACACGTGTTTTTTGGTCTTAGACAAACTGGAAAGATCCAAACACAACATATTTATCGCCTAGCTAATGCTAATGAAAGTAGTAACCCCATGTTAACAACCCCATTGACTGTTTGATTTTAAGGCTTTTTTACTAGACAGACGATTAATATTTTGCAGACATCTCAATTTAAAACATCATACGATGACACAAAATCGATATGAACTCCAAATAAGGTATTTTGTGTTATGGTGAGATCCCATTTTCATTTTTTTATGTAAAATATGATGCGAATAGACCACATCTGTATTTCTATCTAACAGAGAGACGGACACCTATTAGGGTTATCAGTTATCAGCTTGGTGTTGGGGCAGTTTTACTGCCATTCAAGAGATCTGATGCAAATGTAATCGGCGAAATAAATGAAAGATTGTAAAACTGGGTAGGAGAATTTAGGTTCACTTTAATGAGTTCAGGGAGAAAAGGGTGACATTTCTTCAATGTACTCCATCCCTCAGTCCCTCCCCCTGGATCCCCTTCTGCCAATCTGAAACACAAATTAATTGACTTCACATTCAAGGCATCTTGACAGGACAAAGGGCAACATAGTTGAGCAATATCAGCAGCTGCTAGGCTAAAGTTAGAATTTAGCAGCTGAGCCCTAGAGATATTTTTGGATACAGAGAGCAAATTGATCTTTTCTTTTGTTAGAGATTGATAGTATTGACATATCAGGTTGACTTGATATATACATTATGTAAATTCAATTATGTCATTATGTTATCCCACATATTCTTCACCTTTCGTCTATAAATAAAATCATGAATGTGTTATTAATCTAATCCAACTTTTCCTTACATTTCCCTTTTCTTCTCCTTCCAGCTTCTATAGTTCCAATCTTTAACTTAATGTGTCGGAATGCAAAGGTAAAAAATATTATCTACCTTTATCCTAATCGTTCTTTTTTTTTTTTTTTTTTTATGATTTCAAGATTTTGAACCTCGACTTGATACTAAACATCAACAGTTTTGTAGTGAGCAAGAAATACGTGGATTTATTAACTTTGTCAATTTTAACTAATTGTATTTACTACCAGATAAAGATGTAATTTAACTGAAACGTTGGTGGTTACTTAAATCCAATTTATGTATTGATATTGCAAGGAGACGTGAGAAAAGCTGCTGCTACTAGCAGGGGATACTGTTAATGGACCAGAACATTAATTTTATGGACCATGGGACATGAACATCTGCACTTTTAACCCACCAAGACTTTGGAACTTTCCTTCTGCTTGGTACCCATTGATGCTTAGATGAGATATTATAAAAGTACAGATACTTGGCTGCTAGCTTTAGAAGTATTATAGGGAAAGTGCAAACCTCAAAAAGGCTCTTGATCATCACCTAGTGCTGAAATTTCATTTTCATGCCTCTTTTTCCAGCCCACCCTGAGATTTGAACTTCGATCTTATTGAATGATCAACTCTTAAAATTGATTACATGAAATATAAAACTTGAAGAGATTTCGATGAAAAATTTGTTGTAAATCGACACTAGTCAGGACTTTGCTGTAAAATTTCCATGTTTCCGCATAGAAAGATACCCAGAAAAACAAAACTCAAAAATGTCATGTATGGAACGGTCAAGTTCCTGCACAGAAAATAAGGGGAAAAAGAACCAACACACAGTGATAAAATTATCCAAACAATGTTTTCTTCTCCACCTGACAAAAATAGTACCAAGATATTGTCTGCCTTCCCACATTTCAACAAAAAAATCGCTTCTTCTGCCTTTCTTTACTGATGTTTTTGCTTTCTGTTTACCTGTTTATTGGTGTTCAAAGAGGGCAGGGTGGAACCTCAAAGGTTGTTCCAGCTTGAATTTGGCCCCATCCTATTAGACGCCAGTGCTTCTCAACTCGGCGACTTAGTGCAATCTTCTCTCCCTTGCTGGTGCACACAGGGGATGTGAGTTGCAGCTTTGCCAAATCATTCTTTACAGCTATGACTCGAGCCCCAGTTGACATAGACCCAATATTCAACATTAGGATCTCTCCCTTGGCCAGCTTTGACACCTTTCCCTGCCTCTCTGAGCCCTTTGTCCTAACACCAAGAAGCCTCCGAAGAAGGAAGAAGTTTACCTGCACAATTAGAACAGACACACCATGACCGCACTCAGCATTTATTTTTCATTTTTGTTATTAGACACAGTTTCTATGATAATTGTTCACCATGGCAACAGCCACAGACAACATCTAACAGAATAAACCAACATTGCCAACTAAACCCATGTTGCTCTCAGAAAAGAAAGAGAGTGAGTTGTGCGTGCATCAAAACAGTTTTGAAATTAAAATGTAGGAAGAACATATAAATAAATGATTTCACGGCTATGGGTTCCCAACCTATCAAGCAAGGAGGAAGAGATATAAACTTGCACTTGCTTCACATAAGCCACAATGGTTACCAAAACAATGTGGAGCCCTGCTAAAGAAATTCAGCACCTACCTCGAGCTCAACAAAAACTTCTGGGAGTGACCCAACCTCGCCAAGAACTTGACCCACCAACCTATCAGCACGTGTCAAAGTTGGATCCATAGTTGTTCCAACACCAATTAGACCTCCTGGAACAGCAAATTGTAGCTCATTTTGTTCGGCATACAGTGAGACTATTCTGGAATATATGGGTGTGCATTTGATGTTTCCATTTTCATCCTTAGCAACAATCCCAGGACGAACTTCAATAAATTGGTTCACCTTCAAAACACCCTGAAAAGAACAAATATTAACAAAATAATCATGAATACAAAGCAAAGCTACAGAAGCTCACTTTAAATACATTCTCTACCAACTACAAACAGGTAAAAGTCAATATTTTGTAAATGTTCCATTTAAATGCATGCTATTTCTAGGAATGTCAACTAATTAACAGATAATATACTTTAACAGTGTTAGAGATAGCATGAAACGAGACAAAAATATGGAAAGTCTCCCGCGTGTAGTAAGTAAAAAAGTGCATAAATTGTAGCATTCATTTCCAAAGAAATACTAACAAGTAACAAGCACGTTCCAAATAAATACATACCCTGAGTATACTTCCACCAGCAACACCACCTTTAATCTCATCAACCTCAAACCCTGGTTTATTGACATCAAATGATCGGATGACAATCATGTTAGGGGGTGAGACGAAGTTTCTCTCTGGAATAGGGATTTTCTTAACAATGTACTCGCATACAACATCGATATTATATTTTAGCTGTGCAGAAATTGGTACCACTGGTGCACCATCAGCAACGGTACCCTGCAATGAAATATTTTGAGCAAAAGATTAAGAAGAAAAACAAGACTGAAATGTCCATCTATTTTTTGTAAAACAAATAAGGTAACCTGAATAAATTTCTGAATTGCTTCATGCTGATTGATGGCTACATTCTCTTGAATAAGATCAACCTTGTTTTGAAGAATTATAATATGCTGGAGTCGCATGATTTCAACAGCAGCCAGATGCTCAGAAGTTTGAGGTTGCGGACAGCTTTCATTGGCAGCTATGAGAAGCAATGCACCATCCATAATTGCCGCTCCATTAAGCATGGTAGCCATGAGAATATCGTGACCCTGATGGAAACATTGAAGATCAAAAATAAATTCATATATGATAAAATAGAAGACTTTAATAAATCTGAAACGCAATATGCTTAATCCCTATTGTAGCATTGAAACAATAGTGAGTGAGCAAGTGAGAGACTAGTTAATTCCCTCATCTCCAAAGAGTGGCACTTAGGACCTTACCGGGCAATCTACAAAAGATACATGTCTCAGCAACTTCATCCTGGAGTTTTCAAAGCCAGGCACATCACAAAGAGGACTATCCTCCTTTCCGCTTCCATATGCCCTACAAAAACAATATTCAGATCACAGTTGCAGTTGTTATTAATACTCATGAAATTGATTAAGAAAACAGCAGCTAGATATCAACCTACTTGTAGCACATAGGACGAGGGCATCGTTCATCTTCACATTTGTATATCTTAGCATTTGCATACCCAAGCTTGATAGTAATATTTCGCTCCAACTCATTCTTAAAACGAACAGTCTGCAGAAACACCACAAATCACACAAGGCACAATGTGTTTACATTTACTAGACTCCAAAATTCAACAGCAACGCTACTCACTGTACAAAAGGCACAACATACCAAGCAGACTCTCAAAAGGTAAATTATCATATCCTAGATGGGTATTACTCATTAAAAATAAGCTAAATCACCTGAACGCCAGATATTGCTTTCACAACTGTTGACTTCCCATGTGCCACATGCCCTATGGTGCCTGATAAATTGAAACCCAAATCAAAGTTTTGATCAATAAAGCCAGAAGCAATGACTCGGAGTTTAAATAACCGTAACTATTTGCACTATAACAATAGGTGCTACAAGTAATAGTATGGACACAACAGAATTCAAACATTACCAATATTTATAGTCGCCTGGCGAGATATAACTTCCGGAGAGAGCGGATGCAACTGAGTCACATCCAGTTTACTTAAGTCTTGCTCCATCAAACCTTTTCTCGCCATTTTGGCTGCTTCTAATATGAACTGCGAACAGAACATGTCCCAAAAATGGAAATCATTTCACTTAAAGTAGAAGCAAAAAACAGTTGCCAAATACAGGAATCTAGCAATTAATCACATTCGATAAACCCTAAGAAATCAAATTGAAATCCAATAAATCACAGAACAGAAGCCTTAAAAGCTCAGTTCCTACAACCTACGAATCGCAGACACGACACAACACACCTCAGAGTTTGGTTCCCTCGGCGAGGTTATTGATCTGAGCCTCAAATGACAGAGAGGAAATGTTGGATTCCAAAGAGAAGGGTAATTTTGGAAACCCTCAATGCTCAAATTTTGAGTTTTACCAAACTCCAGTCAAAATAAATTAAAAAAAAAATTCTCCGAAAAACAAAAAGAAAACGCATAAAAAATAATCAAAATGATAGCAAATTTGAACAGACGCAGGCAAATAGAGCAAACGTCGAAAAATTTATTAAGAAAATTAAAATCAGCAGAAAAATAGGAAATAATCAAACGAACCTGAGAGACTTGCTTGAAGTTTTTGCTTAGTTGCAGAAAGAAAACGCAGCAAGAAAGAGAAAAAAGGTAGCTAGGGATAGTCTTTTGTCAATCTTGCTGGGTTGGGTTGGGCTGGATTTGGGGTTTTTTGTTGAAGAAGACATAGCCCATTTTACTCTCTTTTTTTTTCCAATTGAAGCTGAAAAAATTGATCCGAAATGTAAGAATTCTTTTTAATTTGCCGGAATCTATATTCGATTCAATTAGATTTGATCGGAATAATCTGAATCAAAATTATTTCAATCTAAACACTTCTTCCGTCTCAAATTATTTGAATATTATTGATTTTCACGAAATTTAAAGAAAAATTTTGATTTTAATATATTTAATATTAAAATTTAAATATTTTTATAAAATTAAAATTTATGATTTTCAAAATAAAAAATTAAAAAAATAACAAAAAATAATTTTAAAATATTAAAAGTAAAGATTTTATATATTAAAAAAAATAATTTTGAGATATTTTCAATTAAAAAAAAAAGACGGACCAAAAAAAGAGATAGATAAAGTAATTTAAAATATTACTCTAAATTAATTTTGACTTAAAATGATTGAAACTTAAATAACTTCAATATCAACTATCAAACTCCAATGATCCACCTAACTATCATTTCTACTCTCAATTTCTTAATTTTAAAGAGATGTTTCATTTAACAGCAATATGTAATATTAGTATTCTTTTTATTATTATTAATTAGTTAGATGAGTAAAATAAGTAAAATTATATTTATTTTCTTTTTTTAATATTATTAAATTATTTTTTCAGTTGCACTCTCAGCTTCTTTCCACAATTTAATTGTCTTGCCTGCTTTACAGGCGTCCAGTCTTGCGTCAGTTACATCATATCAGAGAGCATATATAGGAAAGATAATAATAGATTGAACGAATTTGATTTAATATTTTTGGAGATATTATATAATATTAAAAATTTAAAATTCGAAATGAATTTTAACAGATCTTTTATAAAATTTAAATTGAATCAAATCAAATTTTATTAATTTAATTTAGTTTATTAATTTTTATTTTTTATATATTATTTTAAAATTATTATTTGATAATATAAAATTTGATATAAAATTATAATTTTTATTTATAAAAATTTAAAATATATATAAAAATTAATAAAAATATAAATTTGATTCGATTTATTATCTTTTCATCTAAAATCTGAACGTAATATATATATATATATTTAATATTTAAATTTAATTTGAATCAAATAACAAAATTTAAATTGAACAAAATGTTATAATTTTAAATTAATTTTAAATTTTTTTAATTTTTTTAATTTTTTTCTCGACCTTAAATGCCGGCTTCTCTGTCCATGAGCCTGTAAAGAGTGACATACGTAACTAGAGGTTTCAACTGCTACACAAATTTGTATCAAATTTAAAGATTCTTTATCTAACTTGAATGCCTGAATCTGTGCAGCCTGTTGCCTGCATAAATCCTTCCCTGAACCACCCTCATGCACTTCACACTTTTACTTTTGCAGATACTGTTGACTGCTCTTAATGAATCAAAAACCTGGAGAAGAGGTATTGTATCTCTGCAAATAGTTTCAGATTAAGCTTCATCTTAATCAATATATGTTTTCTAGCCTTATTGTCTGTTCACTTTTTAACTTAATCCCTTTGCCTTGCGTGATCAAAGAAATCATTTGATCATACGTCTCTTGCTTTTGAATTGGTTCTTTTGTTGCTATATCTTCAATGCACGTCTATGCATACACTTCGCTTTGCTACTAAAGGGGAAAAGATTCACACGAAGTTTTATAAGTAAAGTTTATGAAATTTTTTATTAAAAATAAGTAAATAAAAATTAAAATAATAAATAATAAATTAAAAATTTTCATCACATGGATCATGTAAAATTTTAATAAATTTTTATCTATTTATTAAATATATATTTTTAATAAAAATATTGATAAGATTTTAACTATTGAATAAATATCAATTAAATTTAAATTATAAATAATTTTTTAAATAATTTTTTTACATATTATTAATTTTCATATTAAACTTTATCAATTTATTATTTTAAATTTTTTATTAAAATTTTTATTTACTCATTTTTAATAAAAAATTTCACAAAATTTTGTATAAGTTTTATCCTATTAAATGTAGATTGTTGGACTTCCTTTTGTCTTGTCCCTTCTGTATTTTTGTTCCCATCATTCCACCCTTTCTAATCTTAATCAAACTCATTTTCTTTCTTTCTTTTTTTTTTTTTTTTAAGGATTATCTATATGACATTCAAAGCAAATTAATGAAAAATTACCTTCTCACGGTCTGCTATCGGATTCAAACCCAAGTAACAAAGAGAGGAGCACTCAATACAAAAAGTAAGCTTGCTTTAGCAGAAAACTCACAAAAGCAAGGAATACCAGTTAATCTGATCCCTCTACCTCTATGCTAAACCATCACATTTTCAGCAACCCATTTCTTCAAATTTGTCAATCTAATATTTTCTCTTGTCAGATGATCGATAAAGGCTTGAATATTTAATTAGATCGAATCTGTGTGTTTTCTTCCGTGCATAAACTATTTTTCTAGCAGTAGTTTGGCCAAATTTTGCCTTGGCATATGCTCAGTACTTGAATCTGACCATTATTTTTAAGTTTTGCGGAGAATATAAAATTTTGATTTGTTGAAAGATTCTCATTGACTAAGATTAAAACTAATAGGAAATTGGAAGTTCCCAAGTCCCATTCAAGTCTGCTTCACATCTCAACTCCCCAAATTGTTTGAAACATGTTAGGTTGATCCTCTACGTAATGAGACTGTAACAAAGGCCACCAGTTCACATAAGAAGTTCAATATAAAATTAATGTCCCGCTTGATGCTTTCCTTATCTCATCAGGCCAGCTTTTCTCATTAAAGATAATGAAACAAAATCGCCAACGACAAGTGTTGCATGTAACTTCCCATGTTTTCTGCAAACTCCTGTTTCAGATATGCTGTTAGAACAACCTGTCTGCTTTTCATTGTCCTCGTGTTAACTGAAACTTCTGATGGGGTTGCTGCAGGAAGGGAACTAGGGTTGCGGAAGTCTGAAGCTCCAACACATATGAGCTTCTTTCGAGCTGCATTGAGAGGGCGGCAAAGGGTGTTATCATGTGCTAGAGATGCTAATATTTGCTTGGATCGTGAGAAGAATCCTTGGGGTGGCACCATTTGTTGTTTTCAACAGTTTTGCAGGGATACTCTTAGGGATTCCAATAACTGTGGAGCATGTGGTCGGGCATGTGGTTATGGACTCGTTTGCTGTGATGGAAAGTGTGTTGATATTCAGAATGATCCTCACAACTGTGGCTCTTGTTTTGAAGAATGTCCTGGACAGAATCGTTGCTCCTTTGCAATGTGTGATTATGGGTGATAGATTAATAAATTTAGTGCTTAAAACAATTCTTCCTTCTGTTTCAGTTATGCAGCTTTAATTGTTCACTCTGGCATTCGTCTTTTGCTGGGTTCTTCCTGGTTCTTATTTCTCTTCTAAATAATGATTCTGCCGAAGCTACTGAAATTCATCATTGAGTTTCCTGAGTCCGCTGTGAATTTTTTTTATCAGTTTTATATCGTATCATCGTATCGTATATATTTAAAATTATGACATGAGACTTTGAGTTAAAATATTAATGTAATCATAGAGGTAATAATACAGTGGCTTAAAAAGGTTTTTCCAACTTTCTCCGTAAGATCAAAGCATGTTTTTCTTTGCAGCATGTGGTGTGTTGGATCCAAGGAACTGCAAACATTTATTTAATCTGCACCCTAGGCCCTCTTGGATCTTCGGTTAATCTAAAAATAAATTGTCCATTTGCTAGTTGGCATATATTGCCAGTTTTGCTCTTTAATTGTCATCAAATTTAGATTTTCTTACGCTCATGAGCAGCTAGTGATCTTATTAAAATCTGATCTTATTTGTACACTCTTCAAATTGTCATCAATTGATTTTATTAAACAATGAAACAAACGAAAGATAACCTTCAATTAGATGATATTCAATTGATCTAAAATTTAAATTTGAATGCCTACACTTTCTTTTTCTATCCCAAGTTTCAACATCCTTTAAAAAAAAAAACCTGAAACAAACGATTATGCTAGATTTGTCCAAGAGTCAGCTTATCCGTCTGGATCCAAAAACTTATCCGTCAAAGCCCGAAAGCTCATTTGAAATTTGAAAGTATTTGAATATGAATTTTAAATCCGTTAAATAGGTTTGGGCTTAAATTTAAATTTTAAGCCAAATCTTGGATGTAAAGTTTAAGACCAAAATCTTGGTTGACCCGAATTATTATTGTATATATTTTATTATTTATATTAATATTACATAAAAATAAATAAATAAATAATATTTTAATATCTTATGCTTTTATATATACTAATTACATTCAAACACCAACTCAAATTAATAAAGTATTTTTTAGGCTTTATTTTATTAATTATTTATTTTATCATAATTAATATTTATTATATAAATTATTTTTATTTAAAAAAATTAAAATATAAGCAGACTTAGATAATAAAATTAAACTCATATTTCATATTAGATTGAACTCGATCAAATTTAAAATTTATTAATATCATGTATAAACTTAACTCGAATATTCGTCATATAAATAAGTATAAACTCACTAAAGTGAAGAATGAAAATGAAGTCACTACAAAGCATTAAAAAAAAGTAGTTTATAAGCTAAGGCTAGTTACAAAATCAAATGATCGAGACAACAGCAAAGCTAAAAAGGAAAAAAAAGCCTATGAAGAACAGTTGGTAAAAAAAACAGCAACAAAACTAAGAAAAGGGTTATCATATGGTCATGAATTGGCAGGCAAATCTTTACTACAAAGAAGACAATTGGATGATATTTTTGGTCATTGATGGAAAGGACTGTTGAATTATGGAGAAGGAAAGATTATTATTGTTATTCAAATGAAGGGTCCTTCTCATTGATCTTCCACCATTGAAACTTTCCTCCCAACTCTACTCAACCTCGGCTCCCACATGCTTCGGGCTACATTAAGCTAACTAGACCACTCAAATAAGTCTTTGCTTTAACCACTTAGAACATAGTTGGTTGTTGGTTACTTTCACCAAAAAAAAAGAAGGAAAGAAATTTCTTGAGTTACCGATCTTTCCATGCAATTTCATTTGCTTGAATTAGGAACTACCCCATACTGTAATGAACAAAAACAAGGAAAGATAATAAGTGCAATAATAAACAGTTGAACTATATATTTTTTATTTCTATGTATTCATAATCTAAATCAAATTTAAATCGAATATTAAAAAATTATATATTTATTTAAATTTAATTTAAGTTAATATTTTAAGTTTTAAAATTTTTTAAGTTCGATTTAAATTAAAAAAAATAAATCTCAAATCTAATCATTAAATTTAATTTATAAAACAAAAATTAAATTTTTTTTTAAATAAAAATTCACACATATATATATATTTATATAATTATAATATTTTAATTATATATAATTTATTAAGATTGAACCGAGCGGAATTCAGACTTTAAATTTTTATCTAAGACTCTATTCAAAATTTAAACAAATTTAAAAATTATGTTCAAATCGAATAAATTTTTATCTAATTCTTTTAAAATTTGAAAGAACTTTGGGTTCAGACGGATAATCCGTCCCGTCTACTTCCAAGTCAAAGAAATGGTAAACAAAACCAAAAACAATTCTTTCTTTACTTCTTACACAAACGCGTTTCCGCTCGCCATATATTTCAATCCCCCCTTTCCCCTTCACTATCTCGCGAACCCAAAAACCTTAAAGAAAAAGACCAAACCCTACGAAATAGCCATGTTACCAGACAGGCAAGGTGGTGGTGCACCCCACGGAGTAATACTAGCAGTGGTGGTAGGTATCGTGGTGTTGGCTCCTTTCCTGTTTGGTGACCATGGTGAAGCTATAACTGAAGCCATTTCCGAGCTTTTGACTCCCATTGGTCTTCTCCTTTTGCCCATCATCCTCCTCCTTGCAATCCAGTTCCTTTCCTCAGACCGTGGCGTCTCCTTCGTATCCAGAATTTTCTCCACCGGTGAACCTGACACTATTCACCGAGTCAGTGGCTCCCCTTTTGGAGTTGCCCTGTTTCTTGTTCTCATCTTGTTCTTGCTTTACAATCGTGTTTCCATCTTTGGCGGTGGTGATGGTTCTGACGATTGACAGATTCAATCTGGGAGAGCTTTTTCTTTTCTTTTTTTCGTTTTTGTTTTGTATACGGTATAGTGCGTAGATTTTTTTTTTTCATGCAGTATTTTTGTGAATTTTCGTGAATACTCAAGTGGTCTGAGGGCATTGTTGTAATTTAATAAATGGAGCGTTGAAAATTTTTAACTGATATTACAGAATTGTCTTATTGCACTGTTTAATTATACGTATATTGCTGTCTTTTATCTTGCTGACTGTTAATTAACGGTGGATGGGGTGGTTGTCTGAGGGGCGACACGGTGGTTGGGACGGTGGTGCAACTATAGCTTAGTCTCAATTCTTTTTTTTTTTTTTATCGTTTTATGTTTTTATATATTATTTTAGTGTAATTTTTAATATATTTATATAAATTTAAATATAAAATAATTATTTTATTTTATAAAAAAATTAAAAATTTAATAAAAATTAATAAAAATATATAATTTGATTCAATTCAATTTTTCACTTTTCACTTCGAAATTTAATCTAAACTTAATATATATATATATATATATAAAATATTCAAACTTAATCTAAATCAAATAAAAAATTGATTCAAATTCAATCTTATTATTTTAAATCAATTTTTTTTCAACTTTTTTTCTCACCTTTAATAAGTATATAGCTCAAATCTTAACATTTATAATTACTTTATCCAAATATGATTTTCTTTGAAAAAAACCACCAAACTCAGAAGAAATGGACCATCTCAGAAGAATGGAAAAGCTTTCAATCGTTAAACATGGCAACACAACAAATGTGTGCATCAGCCATCATGTACCTAAAATTAAATAAATAAGTGCATCAAACTCCTATGTCATTTTAAATTTTAATGCCTTCGTTCCTTTCAATGTCCATGCTTTCTTTATGTTAAGAAGCAGAACTTTCACGATCTAATTGTAAGAACAAATATTTAAAGGGACCTTTATTTTGTTGGTGGGGTGGGCCTCCAAAAGAAATTTTTCATTAGAGGAGCTGAGCTACTTTGGGCCATCTCTTTCCCATAAAGTAATTGCTCAATTCAAGAGATTATGGAATAAGTAACAAATTTCTGCAACTCAAACCAAGAAAAGTAGCTCAAGAACAAAGAACACTTCAATGGATTTTGCATATTTCTAACATAGTCACATGGAAGATCCAAGATATGGATCTCAAAACAGAAGTATAGACATCCTTGGAAATCAATGAGAAGGAAACAACGAAAAGAAACAATCTTGAAGACCATTTTTTGTTCTACTTATTTTATTTGTGCTAACTCCTTCTATGGCACAATAATCATACCACGTACAAACTGCAGACTGTAGTATTTCATCACATTACCGAAAGAGAAACATTATGGCCTGGAGGTGTCCTTGGCATACATTGAAAATCAGTCCCGAACCATCTTAGCAGATGATCAACGGTAGCAAAAGAATGCCCTTGGACTTGACAAAATTGTTGTGGGTTCCATGCACATCAATATAACATCTTGTTGATGATTTCAAAGAATCTAATCTTATACCCTATTCAATCAGAAAAAAAAAAAGCACATTTAAGTATCATTCAAACTGCATAATGGGAACATCATATTATACAAGGAGCACAGATATAAAAAGAGAGAGACACATGGTTTTTTACCCACTAACAATAGTGCATAAAGGAGACATGAGAGCCACAATTTTGGATTTAAACTTACCTTCATGCATGTCCAAGATTTTGCAGTTTAATACAGTGTGGAGTTGGCAAATTCTTATTCCAATGAAGCTTCTGTCGTTCCATCTGGCAATAGCGCCACAACATATGCTTGTAATCCTTAATCACATTGTCCTCGACATTAGCTCGAGCAGGACTTCCATGGGGAAAATTCACTTCAAAGGCTGATGATTTGACATAAAATTCCACTCCATATTTCTCAGTTGTCTTAGGAATCTGATAGGAGTAATTCCTAAATAAAGAGTACTCAGGCTCGGACATCGGCAGATAAGCAAGCAAGAAAATCAACAAAAATGGCAATATTTGAAGAAGAATCAACAAATTAGGTCCACCTCCATGATGCTCCTCCCTCTGATGACCACCCATTCCTCTAGTCCTGTAAACATGAGAGGCCCTAAACATATCCCCCTGACCAAAAAACGACCTAAATATCTCATCAGGATCAAAATCATCATCATCAAACAAATCATGCCCATATCTTCTCCTCCTCCTCTGTCTCACATTATGCTGCCGATTGTACTCAAATTCATCAACCAAACCAACTTGATCATACTGCCTCCTCGAATCATCATCACTTAAACACTTAAATGCTTTGCACACTTTCTTAAACACTTCTTCAGAACCCGGAGCCGGATTCTTATCCGGATGAACTTTCAATGACAACTTCTTGTATGCTCTCCTAATCTCATCAACCGAACAAGTCTTTTCCACACCAAGAATCGAATAATAATCTTTGTTTCTCTTAATCTGCCTAATCAACTGAACATGTTCCTCAGTATATTTCCTCTCCCCATCAAAACCCTCATTAAACTTCGACGAACCACCTTTATTCTCATTAGTAACACACTTTTCATCAACAGGAGAAACTGGGGACGACCCAGAATCGAGGTTTTCACAAGCAGCCAAAAGCTGATCAACGGATAAACTATGATTAAGGCGTTGTGCGATTTTAATGAATTTCAATGCACGCTCTTTGTTACCAGAAGCAATTGCTTTTTCAGCGATTTGAACACATCTTAAAGCTTCATCTTTATTACCATCCATAATTTTTCAATTAAAAGAAAGAAAACCCTAAAATTTTCTCTAGATCAAACCCTAAACTTCCGAAAAAAGTTTCACAAGAGAATACCAAAATTGATCACCTACATCAAAAGGAAATGCAGATTTGGGGAATTAAAAATTCCAAATTAAAGAGTGAGGAGACTTACCAGATGGAAGATCCGAGTCCGATACAGAGAGAGAGGGGGAAATGACCCGGTTTTAAATTTATAGATTGTGGGAGTCCAATGAGAATGCGCCACGTCATATTCTGGGAGAAGGTATAAAGTAGAGGAGCTAGGCCTTTTTTTGCTGTTTTTTCTAATTTTATTTTATTTGTTTGTTTTTTTTTTTAACAGCATGGTACTTTTATATAGAAATTATTTTTGGCCATCAGATAATAAATAATTTAGTAAATAAAAATTATAAAAATAACAGCAGTCAAAACTTAAATATTAATGTATATATTTAAATGTTTTTAAACTAGAATAAATAAAAAGATAATAAATTTTCAATACAATTCCGTTTGATTTATACTTTTATTTTTTGTGATTATTTTCGTTGTTTTTTTTTTATTTTTAATTTTTTTTATATAATCCTTTAAAAAAATAAAAAATAAAAAACACGATAAAACATGAATAAAATACGAAAATAAAATACAAATATAACATAATTTAAAATTTTAATAATATCTATATATAAATTTAATAAAATTAAAAAATATATTTTTTATTTTTTATATTAATATAAATTATAACATATAATTTTCGTGTAAAACATAATATATTTACATGAATTTTAATACTTTATATAATAAAAATTCATAAATAACCAAGTCAATGAACCAATCAAAACATAAATTGATTGATGCTTGAAACAACTATAGATAAAAAATAAAAAAAAAAGTTGAGTTTTATTTACTATATTTACATTAACTAGTGACCAGATGAAAAAGAAAAAAAAAAGTGCATTCTAAAACATCAATTTTCATCATCAGAATCAAAGGATTGTCGTTTCCTCAAGGATTCCAATACATGTAAGGGGCGATCATTTTGAGCATGGCTTCCTGCCTGGTTAGACTTGAGTTTTGGCATACTAATGGAACTTAGTGGTGGTGTCATTGCTCCCTTGTTCACCTCCTTTAGTACAGACCGAGCAATGGCTTCAGCAGCTGCATCTGCGATTGCCGATGCAACTTTTGAATCACTCTGCAACTTTTGGTTCAACTTGTTTTTGGCATGAGTTCCATCTGCACGTTTTGAAACACAAGGTGATTGGTAGGTACTTTGGTTTTGCAAGTTGGCAACTGCCTCTGCAGCTGTTGTTCTAGCCTTTGCTGATTCATATTTCTGCATGTCATATATGAGCTCCTTTTGAAGCTGTTTATCCGCAACCAACATGTCATCAATCTCACTTTTATAGTCCTTGAGAAGGATTCGCAGGCACTCCATGAGAGAACCTGTGAGAGGGCTGTTCTTGCTTTCTAATAGCCGTTTTAGCTCTATAAAAATGGGGATGGTGTTTTGAATAAGGCCCTTTCTGACTGCCTGTGTTATAGCCCTTCCTTTGGCGGCAGCTGCGGATGCACTGTTATCTCCACCTTCTTCCTCTACCTCTGCTGTGTCAGATGCAGATCCACGATTTGATGAGGCTCGAATCTCTTTGCAGGCAAGAATTTGGAAAGCATCCTGCTCTCCCAACATTCAAGAATTGTTTTGCATGGAAATTATTAGTAACAGAAACTTACAAATTAAATTTACTAGGCACTAGGTACGAAAAAGTGATTGGCTGCTATCATGCATGATCACAAAAGAAAAGAGAAACATTGTTGGGCTAGCATAATTTACAAATGTGCAGATGATTAGTACCTGCAGAACAGATTGTCCTGTTATGTCATCTATGTTGAGCATGCCATCTGATGCAGCTGCTAGAATCTCTGCACATAACTTTGCAAAGGTGGCCAAAAGGTGCTCTGGAGCCATTTGTTTCAGCAAACACATATAGATGCGCATCCTCTTAGACCTGGATGTCTCATCATTACCCCTGGAAATAGTCACATGGGATAGATTTTATCAAGGAAGAAAACACCGAATAGATCATAACCATGTGCCTCAATCACAGAAATCCTTTTTTCTTGTGGCTGAAAGAAGAACATGAGCACCTGATGGAAAAAAGCCGACTCTCCATCCGTGAATTCTTGGAACCATTATGTCCATTGTGGGCATGGCAGTCATTCAGAACATAAATGGATTCCACAAAACTGTTGTAAGCTAGAAGTGGAGCCTTGGCTGGAAGCAATCCACTGAACATTTATTACCAACTTCAACAATGTTATAATGAATTATTAAAGCTCCTTACCTTTCAAAATGCTTCCAAAGAGAAAATCAGCTAGTTGTCTTATTTTTTCTGATTCATCAACTAGACATAGAAGGAACCGAAGGAATAGCACTCCCCTCCACTTCACATAGTCCCTCTGGATTTAAGAACAAAATTACAATATTAAATAGGCTATTAAGATAATATCACATGTGAAACAACCTGTGACCCAAACTTACTTGTAATAATCTTGAGAGCAGTATAAAAGTCTGCCGTCTGACAAGTTCACATGGATCACGGAGACACTTGGTGATTTTTGCTATGTAACTGTATATTTCAAGAATTGTTCATTAGAATAGCGCCATTCTCATACAAAATGATTCTTTGTTACATTTTTTCCTTTCATTTCACTCTCTTCTTAATAGTCAGTTTGACTATTGCATAATTAGTAAGCTCATTTATATTAAATTTCCAAAGGACTCACCAATCAACTAAAGCAGTATGGCGAACACAAAAATCTGCCATCATCACGACAAGGTTGTTGCGAAGTGCCGCACAATCACTCTTTTCGAGCTCCTGCTTTTTAAAATCTATGGTTAAGATTGTTATCGGATACTGTTTAGAACTGATGACGTTGAGAAAAACTGTGGGAATAACTTGGAAACAATAGGGAGGGAAGAAATGCATATTAGATAAGAGCATAAGCATGATACTTGGAAATAATTTAGGAACCTTTTATGTGTTCTAAGAATTAATGATGCTGGCTATGCTTATTAATGTTTCGCCATGTAAGTTGTGATGAATATGAGTGAATGAAGAAATGGTCTAAACAATGGTTTCTCACTCACTTTGAAGAAACATGGATTGTAAAACATTACCGGAAATCATGCAAAAACCTTTCTGGTTTGTAACTCAGAATTTCAGAGCATCTACTATAGAAGCTACAGGGTTGATGACCAGACCTGCACAAAGAGAGGAATGTAACTCTTTGCAAGTTTCCCATCAGCCAGGCAAATCTTCCCCATTGTCAACCATGCTTGAATGTACAAAGAAGGGGCTGTCTGCTTCAAAGATACCCTAGGCCCTGGTAACTTTTTCAACTTTGAATCAGGATTCCCTGAAGTTATGACTGTGTATAAAAGTGGGACAATGGAGCTCACATCAGCAGAAGGACAGGCAATGACCAAAGACCCAACAGTATAAACTGCAGTGACTGCTTTTGACAATAAACGTGAAGCAGTTGCTCCTTGCTTCCCTTTTCTGTTCCCGCTACTTGGTGGTGTAAAGAAACTATTACTTTTATTTGCTTCTTTATTATCAGAAATGTACTTTTCTAAAATTTCACATGCTTTAGAGAGAAGGAGATGTAACCATTTCAGGACAAGTTGATCACCCTCCTCAGGATTTAATGCCTTCCGCTTGCACAATGTTCTGAGAGCCTTTATATGAGCATTAACCTGCCATCAAATATTCTAGCTGATTATGCATATGATATATTATCATTAATTAACTTGAAAAAGCATAAATATTTAACAGCTAACTGCATACAAACAAGTTTATTGCCTAAAAGGGAGGGAAAAGGTCCACAGAGGAAAACAAACGAAGCATTGCTGCAGTTCTTGAGTTGTCAATGTACCCAATGATAAATACCTCTGTAGAATGCATGCTGAACTTTTCAACTCTTTTAAGCAACTTATGGGCTAAATCTGCTGCAGGTTCAGCAGGCAATTCCACGGAAACATTTGAGATGGTTTGCAAGAGGAAAACTCGATCTCCTGCCCACGCAACTGAATTGGATTCTATGCCCTTTTCATCTGCATCAGCATTTCCTTGCAAAAATGGGCTTTGAAACTTGTCTTCTTCTCCATTCTTGTCAAGGAGCTGCCAGTGATGATGGAGGAATTCCCACTCCACAGCTTTTGAAAGATATGTTGACACTTCTGATAGAAGAAACCAAGCACCAGCTGGGGCTGTCCACTTCCCAATTGGCATTGAATGGCTCAACCAGAGAGATTCAGATGTCTTTATAATATTTTGAAGAGCAATAGCAATCTTGGGCTTCAGTCGTTTCTTTTTACCAAGACTTGTGCAAATTTTGTTCACCCATGGAGTCACCTCCCCATTGCAGATGCCTTGCAAAAGAACTAATACCCCTTCAGGGAATAACAATTCCATCTCCCTTTCTAAACTCTTTGCTGTTAGATTTGAATCAGACAAACTAGATCCTTTCTTTGGTGAGCAAGCTGATCCTGCTCTAGACACTCGGTCCAAAATCAATTCCAAGAACAAGTTCTCACATTCTTCTTGAATGCTAGATTCATTATCTGTTATTAAACGTGGAACAGAAAGTAGCCACTCAGTAATCACACTTTCATCTGAAAACGTTCTGAAGGCCTGCAAAGTTAATGCAAAAAATCAACATGAGATAGAGAAATGCATAAGAAAGAACACATATACTTAAGTAAACAAATCCAACATCATACTATGCACTGAATTATGATTAAGCATAAAATCATCACAAAAGCATAGTGCTCTTAAGGTCAAATGAGCATCATAAACTAATTGAACATCACAATGAGCATGCTAAGTGAATAAAGAAACATATTTGAACAAGGAAAACTAGATTAAGCAAAAATGTAAATCAACCTCAGAAAGAGCTGAAATGGCAGCTTTACGTATGCTAACAAGTGGATCTGAACAAGCCATACCCATCGTCTTGAGCAGGACTCCATCTAAAGAACCACCTAAAAGGGCTGTCAACTTAGTGACCAGAAGAAGTGCTGCCTTCCTAACAGCTGCCTTCTCATCCATACACCTCTTCCTCAAAAGATCATTCATTCCAGCCTCTGGCCTCTCCTCCCCACCTTCGCCTAACCCCATTACTTCCTTCAAAATACCTGTATTCCTATCATCACCAGACAAAAACCCCACAACTTGTGCCAAGCTTGATAGGGCTCGAGCTCGAATTCCAGCACTCAAATCAGAACACCTCAGAATCAAAGCTTGCAAACACTTTGTGCCCCAATAATCCCTTACTTTAACATCCGAATACACCCCTAAAGGATCCCTCAGTGACATCAACATCATTGCAATAAGATCAACACCTAACAGTCTAAGATTAGCCTTTCCTTTAGTCATCTTCAATACATACTCTATATATCCTATTTGATCCTCCAAGTCCATCACTTTAACCACCTCCATGATCGATTCCACAGCCAAAGCCCGTGGCTCAGCCTTCTCGGGTGCCTTTTGAACCAAATACCTAGGGAAATTAACAACAGCTTTCTTGACACCATCACTCTCATTTCCCAACTCCATCATCCTTTTTGTCACGAACCCCAATGCAAAACTTCTCGCTTGCGATTTAACCATTAATATCAATGGCAATAAAGATTTCAGAACCTCAGCTGCTGTACTAGCCATCTCTCCATGTTCAGACCTCAGCACTTCACTCAAAACCCGCGAACAAAAATCCATTAAACGATTAAACCAAACCGAATTCCCAAACTTTTCCATTGCCATCAAAGGAATTTCACCGATGGTTTGTATCAAAGACTTCAAACTATCAGGAAACCTGTCCAAATGAATCAAACCCACAACAGAAACCAACATTTCAAGCATAAAAAATACTTCTTTTATATCCAAAGAATCACTTTCTTCCTCACTATTACCCCCCGAACTCCTAACGTTATTCCGTGTTCCACGGCCCCTCCCCCCACTCTTCCTCTTCCGATTAGGCCGCGTGTGGGGAGGAGAAGGCTCATCAGGTTGTGCTAAAGGACCGGTTTTGAAGGCGCGACGGAGGGAACGGAGGAGAGAAAGGAATGAAATGGGAGTGAAGAGAGTGAAAACAGGGGAATTTGGGGAGTGGAGAAGAGAGAGGTAGACTTTGGAAGCTAAAAGAGAGAGACGAAGGGAAGGGTCAGAATCCATTGTGAAAGATAACAAGCTACTGACAGAAGAAGGGGAGAGGCTCTTCGAAGCGAGGTCATCGAAGAACTGGGAAAGGAGGTGTGGGTCGTTTGTGGATAAAAGGGATTGGAGATCTAAGAGAGTAGAGCGAGAAATGAGTGGAGTCTGGCTTTGGGTGTCTGCGATTTGATTGGTTTCTTCGAGGTCTGTGACAATTCTTGCTATGGTTTCCTCCATGGCTCTCTGGCTCTTTGCAAATTCAGGTTGGATTTTCAGTTTGGAGAGTTTCTCTGTTTTTGGGGGAAGGTTAGCCGGTGTTCATTGAAATTCTTTGAATTTTTTCTGTTCCCGCTTAAAGAGAAGGCATTTATTTCAAAAATGGTTAAAAATTATTGAAATTTTGGGCCTATGTTCCGACCCAACCAATAGGTAGAACACAAATTCAACTATAGAACTAGAGGGGTAATTCTTAGATTTTTATTTTATAAAATATTAAAAATTTATATATTTATATTATATTTTATATAAAAATAACGTATTATAAATAATATCAATACAAAATATTTTTTTAATTTATATATAATTTTTATTAAAATTTTAAAATTTATTATTTTTATTATTTTTATATTTTTTTATTATATTATCGTATTATATTTTAAATTATTAAATTTATTTAAAACTCATACTCATTTATTTTTTTCATTGATTGATTTTTTTTTCTTTCATTGGTTGATTTTTGGAGAAAATTTAACTTTTCACAAAATTATTATTTAATGTTGTATCCAATAATTTATGTTTTTATATTTATTTTGTGTTTAATATGTATAAAATATAAAAATTATTATATTAGAATTTATATTTATATAAAATATAATTTTTTTTATTTTTATAAAATTTATAGATAATTTTTATTAAAATTTTAAATAAAAATATTTTTTATTAAATATAAATAATAATGCTTTAATGTTTTTTATTATGTTATTTTTATATCATGATATTTTATTATATGCTTTTATTTTGTCAAATATTATACTATATTTAAATTTGTCAAAACTATTCTAAATTAAGTATCAAATCCAAACATTAAACCCTCTCACAAAAAAATAAATTTATGAAATTAAAATTTTTTAAAATTAAATATTAATAAATTTCTTTAAAAACAAACATATTTATAAATTAAATTTTAATAAACATAATTCGTGCCAAACGGCAACATCAGCAGAGTCGTATACCTATCCCAAGTCAAGCACACACCTATCCCTACTCCCAAACAAGGTGAAAACAAAAACTCCTTAGCTGATCTTAGCCCCAATCCAGACCTCTAGCGAAACCCTCGCCTATAAATAACATTCATCCACTCTTCTTAAAAGCCCTCTTTCGCTCTCTCTCGTCGTAGCCCTTTGCGTCTCTCTCTTAAATACCCGGAAAAGTCTTAGCTATTCGCTTCAATTTCTCAAAGAGAGAGACTGCAATCATGTTGGTTTACCAGGATCTCCTTTCAGGTATGACCCTTTTTCACCATTAATTTCTCTAATTTGGATTAGGGTTTTTATATTGATTTCATTGTTTTTAGTTTAGTTTAGGTTAAAGTTTTTGCCTTATTAGATCTTTGTTTTAATCCTCGTGTAATATTGGGTTTTCCTTCAATTTAGATTAATCTTGGAAAGTTTAGATTTTTATTAAAAAAGATAAAAATTTGACAAATTTTAGCTAGTGGGTCTTCAAAATCTAGCAATCTGGTGTTTCCAAAGTTAAAAAGTGTAGATCTTTTAATACTGTGCTTAGTTATGTTGTGTAATTTTGTTGATGCTATTGTGTTGAACTTTGTGTGGTTGAGTTGAGTTGAGTTGAAATTATGGTAATTTCAGGCGATGAGCTTCTTTCTGATTCATTCCCTTACAAGGAAATTGAGAATGGAATGCTGTGGGAAGTTGAGGGAAAGGTTAGTGTTTTGTCTAATTGTTATGTTAAAGTTTTTGATTCTCTGTAATGAGAATTGGAATTAAACTGTAATTGTTGCTGTTTTTTTGCTGCTTTCTAGTGGGTTGTGCAAGGAGCTGTTGATGTTGACATTGGTGCTAATCCTTCTGCTGAAGGTGCGGATGAGGATGAGGGTGTTGATGACCAAGCTGTGAAGGTTGTTGACATCGTCGACACCTTTAGGCTTCAGGTTGGTTGGTTTCACTATTAAAAGTAATTCATGCTTTTTCGATTTTTTGATGTTTTTGAGGTAGAATGTGAAGAATCTATTATGATATTGCTTGCAGGAGCAACCTGCTTTTGACAAGAAGCAGTTTGTCGCATTCATAAAGAAGTTTATCAAGAATTTGACACCCACGTTGGATGCAGAGAAGGCTGAAAACTTTAAGAAACACATTGAGGGTGCAACCAAGTTTTTGCTTTCAAAGCTCAAGGACCTTCAATTGTGAGTGCTTCTGATCAGAGTATTCTTGTTGTATTTTAAAGTATTCTTTTCAGTTTTAGGGGAGAAAAATTGAAGTTTATGCTTGTTTTTTCACAGTTTCGTTGGAGAGAGCATGCATGATGATGGCTGTTTGGTGTTTGCTTACTACAAAGAAGGTGCTGTTGACCCAACATTTTTGTACTTTGCCTATGCATTGAAGGAGGTCAAATGCTGAGTTTGAAGTAGAAGTGCTTGCTATAGTTCTAGTCTTTGTTATTGCTTTGCCTTGTTTTCTATCTCTTGTACTGGTAAAGACTAAAGGGCTCATGGCTGCTGCTCTTTTGTTTTAATTGTTGTTTCTTTGTCATGGAATGTTTTTAATTTTATGGGGTGACTAAAATAACTTAAATCAATGTTCTATTTATCCTTAATTTAATTGGTGTGGTTGTTGGATTGATTTTTGGACAACTTTGGCAAGTGTAACATAGAAACTTTGATAGCATTCAGATTTCAACTCAATTTATATCACTAGACCAGACCGGACTATTGAATCTGTGTAATAGAAACAAATTAGACATTTGTGTAATTTTTAATAAAATATTAAAATTTTAATTTTAATTATTCAAAATTAATGCTTGATAATTTCAATTTATAAAAAAATGAGATAGATATACTAGAATGATATCAAATTAGCTAATGTAATCAAGATATAATCCACTTTAATTAAAAATATATTTTTTACCTAATGTTTAATAAAATCTTTAGGTGTCACCCTCACATGCTTTAAGTTAAAGCAAAGGCTTTTATTTCTAAATGAAGTGGACTGCACGTTGGGCCCACCTTGAGATCCAACCAACTATCATTTTCCTTTATGTGGGCCACAATGACCAAAACAACACACCCTATTAAAAAATCATATATTCAAGGCTAAAACAAAAATATTTTTCAATTGCATGCATTTTTTTTTATTTAGACTTTTTCTGCTCAAACTTCAACTAAACAAAGGAGCTGAAGATGCCTATAAATGCACAAAGTTAGACAAAATCTTCCGAGGAATTTTTATTTTATATCACATAAAATTCACTTAGTAAAATACAACTTTTTTATTTTTTATTTTTATCTTTTGAATTAAAATTAACATTTGAATTTGAAAATTTCAACTTTGAAACTCTAATTTTTTAAAACTTTTATATTATCATCATAATCATCATTTCTTCTATGATTTTTTGTTTTTGTGCATCCATGTTTTTTTATTTTTGTCATATTGATATGTGATTTTTTTTAATTTAAATCGTATTATTTTCATATATTTTCGTATCTTATAATCATATTATATATAAAATTATCAAATGGTTTTCTTGCATAATTTTGAATTAAAATATATGACAATCAAGTCAGACACTCTTGACCCTATTATTATGTGATTTTATTACAAAATTTCATTTTCATCTGAAAAAAAATAAAAAAAAACTCAAATTATGTTTCAAATTAATTTATATATTGGCATACTATTAAATTTTAAATGAAATTTATCATATGTGTAGTCACCAAAATGTTACATGGTAAATTTTGTTTATATTTCATTCAAATTCTAACATAATATTGATATGAATAAATGAATTTAAAACAATTTAAAAAGATTATAAATAAAAAAATTCGAGTTTTTTAGATCACGAATAAAAAATGAAGCATTAAGAAAAAAAATAAACTAATAATGTAATTTTTTCACATTCTGCATTTGTTGAAAATCAATTAATTTTGAGTTTGATTGATAATAAGTTGCATGATTGAACTTCAAAACTCGAAATTTAAAACTTAAATGGACTATTTCAAAAATTTATAAAGCTCATTTAGCATTATTATTGAAAATAATTTTTGCTTACAAAAATGACTTTTGATCCAAATATGAATTTAGTTTTTTAATTTAAAAATTTTGGTTTTTCTATGAAAAAGTATATTTTGGATTAAAAATTATTTTATTATCTTATTTTTTAATATTTTATTATTTTATACATATTTTTTTAGATATTTTTAATTACTTGTATTTTTTTTTATAATATCAAACATTTAAAAATTTTAATAATATTTTTTTATCATACTTTTTAAGTACATTTTTTTCAACTAAATTTCTTTTAATTATAATAGTTAAATATGACAATTTAAAATATGATATAATAACACAATACGAATATGATACGAAAAAATATATATAAAAATAACATGATTTAATATTTTAGTAAAAATTATATGAGTTTAGCAAATATAAAAATATATATTTCATGTTTCATGCTTATCTATGACTGATAATTTTCATGTAAATTATTAAATAAATATAAAAATTTTAATATATTAAATAATATAAATATATAAATTATCAAATTTAAAAATAATAATGATAAATTAGCGACTATTTTGATCAAAAGAAGCAAATATGTGTTATACCTAAATAAACAAAAGAAATTTTAACTTGCTAGTGGTTAACGTGATATTTAAAAAAAAAAATTATGATCAATGCATTAATTTTTATTAATTTTTGTAAAAATAATACATTAAATATAAAAATAATTTATTTTAACTTGAATCAGTGTTCATAATCACCCGTTAGCCGGATTCGTAAGTAAAACGATTAACAATAACACACGCTTTCTCCGCTAAGATGCCGTCCATGCGTTGGTTAGTTTGAAATTTTTGAAAACCTTTGCATCTTTAATCATGGACCAAATCAAACTGACCACGAAGTTTTTCATAATTACAATTACTTGCCATCCATATAAGTGATAATTATTTATTTTTTCTCCGCATTTATCTTTTTAAAAAAATATTTCCAATTTTCAAATCATTTAATTAACAAATGAATTAATTAAAAAAATAAATTAGAATAAAAAATAATAAATCAGATCAAAACATTAAAACAACCATTAAAGTTCACGTCAATTAAAAAAAAATTCTCATTTAATTAAAAAATATAAAATAACCATACCAAAATAATACCTTATTATTTTCAAATTAAAAGACAATTGTCTTGTTTTATTTAAAACTTATAAAACATAAATAAATTATTTCTTTTTTTAATTAAAAAAATTCAGCACAAGCAATAGTGATCTTACTTTGCAGCAAAACCGCCGTTAAGGGCATTTCTGTCACAAAAAAAAAACTGAATAAAACGAAACGAGGACATTTAAGTCATTCAACAAATTCAACGTAGCCGTTCAATAATTTTGAAAAAAAAAATCCTTACTCTCTCCCTCTTTGCTTTCATTTCTCTTCGTTTTTTTTTTTTTTCTTTTTTTTTTTCGGAGAAAGAAAATCAAAGAAAGGGAAAATAAATAAATAAATAAAATCAGAGCCACCGTACAATCAAATTAAAATAGGGTCTCTGCTTTTATAATTTTCTTTCTCTTTCAGATCTGATCACAGATCTCGAATCGCCGACCTACCTCTTCATTTTCCCCTTTCTCTGGTAATTTTATTTATTATTTTTGCTTTTTTTTTTTTTAACAATTTGAATGCGTGAATTTTGAGTTTTTTTTTTTATAGGTTTAAAAAAATTGCTCGGATTATTGGAGTTGCATTTCCGAAGAAATTCTTTTTCATGTTCTTCTTCAAATTCGGATTTTCTCCGCCTTGTAAGTAAAATTCAGTTATATTTTTAATTTCTTTTATTATTATATTTATTTTTATTATTGTTATTATTGAATTTTGATTTTGGAGTTTGGTTTTGTTTTGTTTTTAGGGTAGCATTGTCAAGCAGATCTTAAAAATTGGCTCCTCAAAGGCGATCGCAGCGCCACATGGGTGGCCAGATGCAGCAAAGCAATGCTGCAGCGACGGCACTTTACGATCATGCCAGTGGTGGCGGGTCCTTGCACAGTGGGGATCTTGCCGGCGATGCTGGTGATGCCGTTATGGCGCGGTGGTTGCAGTCTGCTGGATTGCAGCATCTGGCCTCTCCCCTGGCTTCTACTGGCATCGATCAACGCCTCCTTCCCAAGCTCCTCGTGCAGGTAACAAACCTCTGCTTTTAATTCTACGTGTATTTATTTAAAATTTCTGTTGGTTTTAATCATTAACTTTTCATTGCTTGATTCAGATGCATGCAATTTGAATTAGGTTAATTTATTTTTTTAATTGCTTCAAATTTACTTCGGTTTGTCATTTTGACGAACTTTTTAGTGATCAGATTCGTGGCTTTCGCATTTTCGTCCGAGGGAAGTGTTTTTGAAGTTTGGGCATTGTAATGTTTGATGCCAAGATGTAGGAATGCATATATATATATATATATATATATGTATGTATGTATGTATATTTACATGAAGTTATGAAAAAGTCACTTTTAGTATTGACAATTATGTTGATGAGCCTTTTAAGAAAGTTGGAATTCATGATTAATTGATCATGCTGATGCTTGTTTCCTTTTTTTCCCATGAGTTTATTGATTTTTAATTCCTTTTGAGCAAACTATATGTATTTTATCTACTATCTTGTGTGGTTACTTTATATGATTAAATGGGTTTGCATTTTACATGTTCATTGTTCTGAGATAATGAGAAGTTACTATTACATTATTGAAGGGTTATGGAGCACAATCAGCGGAAGAGAAACAGAGGATATTCAAATTAATTAGGAACCTCAATTTTAATGGGGAATATGGGTCAGAGCCATACACGCCAACTGCCCAAAGTTCAGGAGGGCCAGCTACATCTGATGGGTTTTATTCTCCAGAGTTCAGGGGGGATTTTGGAGCTGGGCTTTTAGATCTTCATGCTATGGATGATACAGAGCTTCTGTCTGAGGTATGGTTAGAGGGCATTGCACATAACATTGCTGGAAAGTTCTACAATGGTTGATTGCTTGAAGTTTTGATTAATTGCATGCAACTCTACTATTTTTCTTTCATTTTTGTGGTGATATGGATAGTTATTTATGGATGTTGTTCCCTTTAGATTTTTTTTTCCTAAATTCAGTCAAAGATTTACTTCAATTTAAATCATAGTATCTTTATCTTTTTCCTCTGGAAATAAATTCTGATTTGATTTATTTTCAGCACGTCATCTCAGAACCTTTTGAGCCATCACCATTCGTGCCTGGTGTGAACAAAGCATTTGAAAATGAATTTAATGTGACAAGCAGCCAGCAACAAAAAGAGCAATGTGATGCAGATGCCTCCGCTTCATTATTCTCTGCCAATGAAAAAGAGATCGGCCCAAGGGAAAATAATGTTGCTAAGATTAAAGTTGTGGTATGTTGATTTCTAGTCATGGTGCTTTGTTTCTCTCTCTTCTCTCTCACTCCTCTATGGATATGTGGTCATCCTTTTATACTTGCTAAGATTGAAGTTTATATTCTCTAGTTTAGTATTTTTTGTTCCTTTCATTTTTATCCTGCCTTTGTGTTTTATTATTTATCTGGGGTGGTTACAGTTGATGCATTTATGCGTGCCTGTTCACTGTACAGTGTTATATCCCTTG